GACCATACTCAAAGAGCAGTTATTAATATTTCACTGTCAAACTGGGAGGAAGTGCCTAATAGGGTCCCACAGGGGTCTGTCCTGGGTCCAGTACTATTCAATATTATTTATTAGTGACTTGGATAATGCAGTGGAGAGTATGCTCATAAAATCTGTGGATGACACCAAGCTGGGAGGGGTTGCAAGCACTCTGGAGGGTAGGATTAGAATTCAAAACGACCTTGACAAATTGGAGAATTGGTCTGAAATCAGTAAGTCGAAATTCAATAAAGACAAGTGCAAAGTGCTATATTCAGGAAGGAAAAATCAAATGGACGAGTACAAAATAGGGAATAACTGGCTAGGTGGTAGAACATCTTAAAAGGATCTGGGGATTATAGTGGATCACAAATTGAATATGAGTCAACAATGTGATGCAGTTGCAAAAAAAGCTGGGGTATATTAACATGTAAGACATGGAAGGTAACTGTCCTGTTCTACTTGGCACTGGAGCCTTAGCTTCAGTCTGGTGTCCAGTTTCGGGTGGCACGCTTTAGGAGAGATGTGGACAAATCGGAGAGAGTCCAGAGGAAAGCCATAAAAATGATAAAAGGTTTAGAAACCCTAACTATGAGGAAAGATTAAGTATACCGGGCATGTTTAATCTTGAGAGAAGAAAACTGAGAGGGGACCTGATAACAGTCTTCAAATATGTTAAGGATGGCATAAAAGGGACTGTAATCAATTGTTCTCCATGTCCATCGAAGGTAGGATAAGAAGTAATCAGCTTAATCTGCAGCATGGGAGATTTACGTTAGATATTAGTAAAAAAAAATTCAACTATAAGGATAGCTAAGTAATGGAGTAGGTTATCAAGGGAGCTTGTGGAATTCCCATCCGTTGGAGGTTTTTAAGAACAGGTCAGACAAACACCTCTCAGGGATGCTCTAGATTTACTGGGTCCCGCCTCAGCACAAGTGGCTGGACTAGGTGGCCTCTCAGGATCCCTTCCAGCCCTACATTACTATGATTAAACATCACATGGGGGAATGTTGTCTAGTGGTTGAGAGAATATTGTTTAGTGTGTGCCACAATATTGTCTAGTGTGTGTCACAAGTGTGACACACTGGGGAGTGTGTGCTAAACATCCCCCTTTGTGCTGATGTAGAGAGGATATGATTTGGTACAGGTCATGCTTTGGTACATGCTTTTTTTGCCTCTGTTTTCACTAACAAGGTCAGCTCCCAGACTGCTACGCTGGGCATCACAAAATGGGGAAGAGATGGCCAGCCCTCTGTGGAGATAGAGGTGGTTAGGGACTTTTTAGAAAAGCTGGACGTGCACAAGTCCATGGGGCCGGACGAGTTGCATCCGAGAGTGCTGAAGGAACTGGCGGCTGTGATTGCAGAGCCATTGGCCATTATCTTTGAAAACTCGTGGCGAACCGGGGAAGTCCCGGATGACTGGAAAAAGGCTAATGTAGTGCCAATCTTTAAAAAAGGGAAGAAGGAGGATCCTGGGAACTACAGGCCAGTCAGCCTCACTTCAGTCCCTGGAAAAATCATGGAGCAGGTCCTCAAAGAATCAATCCTGAAGCACTTGCATGAGAGGAAAGTGATCAGGAACAGCCAGCATGGATTCACCAAGGGAAGGTCATGCCTGACTAATCTAATCGCCTTCTATGATGAGATTACTGGTTCTGTGGATGAAGGGAAAGCAGTGGATGTATTGTTTCTTGACTTTAGCAAAGCTTTTGACACGGTCTCCCACAGTATTCTTGTCAGCAAGTTAAGGAAGTATGGGCTGGATGAATGCACTACAAGGTGGGTAGAAAGCTGGCTAGATTGTCGGGCTCAACGGGTAGTGATCAATGGCTCCATGTCTAGTTGGCAGCCGGTATCAAGTGGTGTGCCCCAAGGGTCGGTCCTGGGGCCGGTTTTGTTCAATATCTTCATAAATGATCTGGAGGATGGTGTGGATTGCACTCTCAGCAAATTTGCGGATGATACTAAACTGGGAGGAGTGGTAGATACGCTGGAGGGGAGGGATAGGATACAGAGGGACCTAGACAAATTGGAGGATTGGGCCAAAAGAAATCTGATGAGGTTCAATAAGGATAAGTGCAGGGTCTTGCACTTAGGACGGAAGAACCCAATGCACAGCTACAGACTAGGGACCGAATGGCTAGGCAGCAGTTCTGCGGAAAAGGACCTAGGGGTGACAGTGGACGAGAAGCTGGATATGAGTCAGCAGTGTGCCCTTGTTGCCAAGAAGGCCAATGGCATTTTGGGATGTATAAGTAGGGGCATAGCGAGCAGATTGAGGGACGTGATCGTTCCCCTCTATTCGACATTGGTGAGGCCTCATCTGGAGTACTGTGTCCAGTTTTGGGCCCCACACTTCAAGAAGGATGTGGATAAATTGGAGAGAGTCCAGCGAAGGGCAATAAAAATGATTAGGGGTCTGGAACATATGAGTTATGAGGAGAGGCTGAGGGAGCTGGGATTGTTTAGCCTGCAGAAGAGAAGAATGAGGGGGGATTTGATAGCTGTTTTCAACTACCTGAAAGGGGGTTCCAAAGAGGATGGCTCTAGACTGTTCTCAATGGTATCAGATGACAGAACGAGGAGTAATGGTCTCAAGTTACAGTGGGGGAGGTTTAGATTGGATATTAGGAAAAACTTTTTCACTAAGAGGGTGGTGAAACACTGGAATGCGTTACCTAGGGAGGTGGTAGAATCTCCTTCCTTAGAGGTTTTTAAGGTCAGGCTTGACAAAGCCCTGGCTGGGATGATTTAACTGGGAATTGGTCCTGCTTTGAGCAGGGGGTTGGACTAGATGACCTTCTGGGGTCCCTTCCAACCCTTATATTCTATGATTCTATGATAGGTCCCAACTGGGTAGCATTACCAGTCATGCTTTTAGCTCTGAAGGTCCCTGGTTCATTTCCCAGCACCTATCATGATTACGACACACTGGGAATTGAACCAGGGACCTGCAGAGCTAAAAGCATGACTGGTAATGCTACCCAGTTGGGACCTGTACCAATTCATATCCTCTCTGCATCAGCACAAAGGGGGATGTTTAGCACACACTCCCCAGTGTGTCACACTTGTGTGTCACAATACTGTCTTGTGTGTGTCACACTAGACAATATTCTCAGTTGGGGTTCTTAGGCATATAGGGCTTCTGGGTTCTCCTAGCTTATAATAATGACTCACTTAATTTCTCTGTGCCTCAGTTTACTCATCTCTCCACTCACAGTGGTGTTGTTACAAGCTTAATGTTTACAGCATGCCCTGGCACACACAGATAAAGGTTGCTATGTAAGTACAAAATAATTACTCACAGTGTTTCCCTTTTTTTGCTGTTGTGTTTGTTTCAAGAGCAGAACTTATCTTACTGCCAGTTATTTAGCTCTGTTCTTGTATGGGGCTACAGAGGCACAGCTGATAAAATTGCGATTCACAACTCCATTAAATGGGCCATAAGATTGCTTTTCCTAAAAATGTCTTCTACAAGCAGCAGAAGGCATAAAAGCTTTAAAACTGGCTGGAAAAAAATTCTCTTCAACATTGAGATAATATTTTAACACTTTAGCTTATTTTTGTATTTGCAAGTCGGAGGCTTCTGCCAAAGTCATTAAAGGTCGGGGTCCCACCATGCTTTCTATCTATCCCCCCATCTCATGTAAATGATGGAGGGCAGTGTTGTTTGGTGGATAGTACATTGGCCTGGGAGTCAGGAGACCTGGGTTCTGATCTTGTCGCTGCCACAAACCTGCTGTGTGAGCAGGTCTCTTCATTTATCTGTGCCTGTTTTCCTTCCCATCTTTTGTCTGTCTTGACAATTTAGACCAGGGGTGGGCAAACTTTTTGGCCCTAGGGTCACATCTGGGAATAGAAGTTGTATGGCGGGCCATGAATGCTCACCAAATTGGGGTTGGGGTGTGGGAGGGGGTGAGGGCTCTGTGGTGGGGCCAGAAATGAGGAGTTCAGGGTGTGGGAGGGGGCTCCGGGCTGGGATGCGGGAGTGGGGTGAGGGCTCTGGCTGATGGGTGTAGGCTCTGGGGTGGGGATGGGGATGAGGAGTTTGGGGTGTAGGAGAGTGCTCTGAGCTGGGACAGTGGGGTTCAGAGGGCAGGATGGGGATCAGGGCTGGGGCAGGGGGTTGGGGCGTGGGGAGAGGCTCAGGGGTGCAGGCTCGCAGCGGTACTTACCTCAAGCGGCTCCCAGAAGAAACGGCATGTCCCTTCTCCAGCTCCTACGTGCTCATTGGAGCGCTGGAGGCGGTCATTGGAGCACGTAGGAGCCAGAGCGGGGACATGCTGCGGCTTCCAGGAGCTGCGTGGAGCGGCCCCCGACCCAGCTCCCCAGCTGAAGCGCCAGAGCGGGGCCATGCCGTGGATTCTGGGAGCTGCATGGTGCGGCCCCCGACTCTGCTCCCTGGCTGGAGCGGGGCAAGCCCCAGACACTCGTCCCCAGAGGGAGCTCGCAGGCTGGCTTAAAACGTAGTTTGCCAAACCCTGATTTAGACTGTAGATTCCTCAGGGCAGGGATTGTCTCTTCTGATAAACCACATGAGTTTATACAGTACCTATCATGATACAGCCCTGATCTTGGTGGGGGTCGCTAGGTGCTATTTTAATAGAATATAAACAACAACAGCAGCTCACTCTTTTGCTTTCCTCAGACTCTGCCCTCTGTGAGATGATTCTGCATGTCCTAGTCCCCTGTGGTTTGGATTTAGGCATTATTTGCCTTTCAGAACTATAACACTTTTTGTACTGCTGGATTCTGCATGATTGGTGTCCTTAAGGATGGGATCTTGGGACTCTGCGCTTTAATTCAAAGGGCTGTGCAGGACAGAAGGATCCAAAAACCCATGCAAGTACAGAATAATTCAAAGGGATAGATGGGGTGGGGGGAATAATGGAAAAGAAAGAATAAATAACCAAGGACACTATCAGAATTGTAAATCAATAGCTTAGCTAATACACGGGTGAGAAAATGAGGCATTACCTCCCTGAGGCAGGTATAAATGGGACAGACAAGGACTCGGAAGGGCTCCCCAGTGTTGCTCCTCATGGTGCCGAAGACTTCGCAGAGGAAGGTGATGAACCCCAGCCAACGCTCCACATCGCGCTGCTGCAGCTCCTCCCGCATTGTGAAATCTTTCTGCAAAAGGGACAGACAACAGGCGGCATCAGCAAAGCCACATCTCCCTGGAAGAAGCAATGGCTGTCTAGGGAGGGAATTAAGAAAAGAGGAAATTGAAACTGGAGGGACAGAGAGACAGACTGACTCTTTAGTAATGAGCATGCAGATTACTCAGTGTAAGTGCAGTGGCTGAAATTTCAACACAGCATAAAGCAGGTATTGTAGAAATATCATCATCAGCTGCACAATGCAATAGAAACAATTGCCCTTTGGCCTTTCTGCCTTTTGTAACATATGTGAGTGTTCAATTCAATATGCAAAAAAAGTAGGGCTGGTTTAACGGGTGTGGCAAACACAAAAGGCACACGAGCCATGCAGGCAGCACACATAGTGCCTGGTTTTTCAGCTCAAGGGAACTCATGTCACCACAGATAAGTTCAGTCTGTCTACACCTCTCTCAAAGTTAGCACCTATAGGGACCACATTGTCCTCTGTGCTAGGACCAGGGCTTCCCTGGGCCGCTGGTGATTCTTGGCTGCTGCAACTGCTCCTTGGCACCCTCTAAATTACAGCAGGGGACTGGCCCCCTGCCCACCTGGATGAGGACCAAGAGAGTACAATGTTGGCATTAAAAAGTCACCCCCTCCTGTGTCATACTGTTGCCACAATGAAGGATTGTGGGAATTATGCAACTCCAGATGCAAGATCAGGATCAGATGCACAGCGAGTTATGTCTCTCTTCACTGGCCCTCTAGTCTAATCCATAGATAATAATGGTGGCTAATAAAGCAGAGAAAGTGAGAACATAAACAGGTGAGGGACAGGGGAAGAAAAGAATGACAGAGAAAAACAGAAATACAATAAAATAGAATCTTAACCTTTTTTAAACAGGAAATTTGGTACTTTACTTTTACAGTGACCAAATAAAAATTATGATGCTATAATCCAAGTGTATATAGTGCTCAGGACAAGGGGATGTTTCCTAAACCCCTTTCTGATGTTATAGCAGCTTGTTTCAAGAAATATCACAGCAGCCTGCTTATTTCCACTCTTAATTACCTTTCTTTATGATTATAGTTTAGTCGACATAATGCCGAGAAAAATTACAGAACAAGTTCATTCTCAAGTATAACATAAAAAACTACAGGCGAAGTGTGTGTTCAATGTGTGTGCAGCTCCATATATGAAATCCAGCAACTAAAATGCTAATTATTTAAGTATCTTTTCTACATCAGTTTATTCCTATTGATAAAAACTAAAAGCGATAGATTGTTGCACCCAATGCTCTAATCTGCACCTGCAGTGTGGAGACAGCTGTGCAGAAGAACCACCAGTGAGAAGGGTACTGATTTATAAAGTGCGAAGTACTGATGTTTAAATGCATGTAAGTGAAGCAGTTCCTGAAGAAACCCAAGTGAGAGCTTTGTGATTTATTTTATTATGCAACAATATGTGCAAAAGACTCAAGAGACGTCAATCGGTGCCCTCCTAATGCTCAAAAGTGAGCATTCAGTCTCCAGCTGGAAGCACAAGCCTTGCCCACTTGGTGTAGCCCTCTGTCCCCCTCTGGTGGTGGGTAGGCCACCAAGGTAGGCCCTCTATAGCAGGGGTGGGCAAATTACGCATCCGGCCCTCCAGACATTTTAATGTGGCCCTCAAGCTCCTGGCAGGGAGTAGGGTCTGGGGCTTGCCCCGCTCTGGCACTCCAGCTGGGGAATGGGATTGGGGGCTTGCCCCGCTCCGCATGACTCCTGAAAGCAGCGGTATGTCCCCCCTCAGGCTCCTATGCATAGGGGCAGCCAGGGGGCTCTGCAGGCTGCCCCCGCCCCAAGCACCGCCCCCACAGCTCCCATTGGCTGGGAACAGCGGCCAATGGGAGCTGAAGGGGCGGCGCCTGCGGACAGGGGCAGTGTGCAGAGCTGCCTGGCCGTGCCTTCACGTAGAAGCCAGAGAGGGGACATGCTGCTGCTTCTGGGAGCTGCTTGAGGTAAGTGCTGGCCGGAGCCTGCACCCCTGACCCCCTCCCACGCCCAAACCCCTTTCCCCAGCCCTGATCCCCCTCCGGGCCTCCGAACCCCTCAGTCCCAGCCCAGAGCACCCTCCTGCACCCCCAACTCCTCATCCCCAGCTCCACCTCAGAGCCTGCATCCCCAGCTGGAGCCCTCACCCCCTACCACACCCCAACCCCCAATTTTGTGAATATTCATGGCCCGCCATACAATTTCAATACCCAGATGTGGCCCTTGGGCCAAAGAGTTTGCCCACCCCTGTTCTATAGCCTTGGTTCTTTCCTCTCAGGCAGCAGAGGCTAATTCATTAAGATCCAGAGATTCCCAGGTTCGATCTCCACTGCCAACAACCCATCCAGAGGTGTCAGTGCTATAGAAGCACCTTCTGTTGGTCCTACGTCTCTTCCAGTTCTACAGCACCTGGGCACACTCCTGCGTCACAGTCCTTGCAGGAAAGGATATTTCTGAAGTGTGCCATTCCCTTGAGGTTATTTAATAGCTTGTTCTAGAGCTTTCACTCAACGTTTAGTTTAAAAAATATATCGACAGAACAAAAACATCAATGTGACTATTGAGCAATTAAACATAAAAACACTCTAGCGTTTGGCCACATGCCTAGACATCTTAACCTCTTCCCTTTGGGACTGGATCACTCCACTAGCCCTCCTTTCTCCACTGTGCTCACATTCTGTCCAGATGGGAGAGGTAAAGCAAAGTATGGTTCAGACGGCATCTCCGAGCACCCGTAATGCTTATAGCTTTGTGCTGAGGTAGAGAGGACTCTTTGATTTTCGTAGCTTTCAATGCTTCCGCCTGCAAGACAGCTCCAGTTCCATGGAGACAGGCACTTTCTCGACTCCTGAGGTTCCTCTGCCAGCGCCTGACATCTCTCCACCCCTTTAAAGGCACATCCCTGTGGAATGAGGATGAGCCGCACTGCAGTAGGAGCAGTGCTATTCTCCTCAACCTGAGTTCCTCCTGGGCGCTCCCTGAGAAATGCCTTGTCCTCTCTCCTCCCCTTTTGGGTTTACACTTCCTAGCTGCACTGCACCTTCGGTGTAGCAGAGGAAGGCTCCTTGGACTTTCATCATCTCCTTACACAGCCAAGCAGTGCTAGTCACAATCCAACCATTGGCATTTTGCTGCAGGATCTCACATACCCTCCACCAACCCCAATGTCTTCCCCTCCAAATCCTGAGGCTTCCATGTAAACCCCAGTTTCCTGCCTGACAATGTTTACTGAGGCACTGCTATTTCCTGCATGGAACCACATCAATCCAGTTTAAAAGCCATTTAATGTCTAAAGATTCCCGAGGCATTCTGGGAAATTCTTAGCCGCTTGGGATAACCACATGAACTCTGGCACGGTGATTTAGATTGCAAAGCCAAAAATGGCTCCATGCAAGCTTGGCGGGGAGTGGGGGAGGGGGAAGAGCCATGTATATATTCAACTCCCCTGCGGATTCACCTTGAGAGATGCAATGGGTCCATGCAGAAACTTGGTTTTGTATTTTTAAGCTTCCTTAAGGAGGCAGTCCCTCTATCATCCCTAAAAACCTATCATAAAAAACCCAGGCTGGGATACCTTACAGTTTAAATAAGAAATTCCGGGAGATTTATATCTTGATCGTGTCCGGAGAGGTGGGTTTGTTGCCAGCTCAAACACTTCAAGCTGAAAATACACCTTTCCTTATTTACTGTAAGTAATTCATAGCAGATTATTGGGAAACTGCAGGGAGAGTTAGGATGCAGTTTTGGAACTGTGCAGAGAACACTTAAGGGACACTGCACCACATGCTCTTCCTTCAAATTCCTGCTTAACACACACTCCCCTTCAGCAAAGCCTTCCCGAGAAACGCCTCCAAAGAAATTCATTTTAAAAATACAAACATCTGCCCTGCTTTGAGATTCACCCTGATTACCACTGGATGTATCTGAACTGTAATATGTAGCTTTTTAGACTGTAAGTTCTATGAAGCAGAAACATCTTTTCTTCTTTATCAGCGACACAAAAAGCATGGGGCCAGGGCTAAAATATTTTGGTCATAAACTTCCTTTGATTCATAGCAGAGCTGTCATTGGGACAACTGAGCAAAGATGGGGCGGGGTAAAGCACTGGACTGGGACTAAGGAGACCTGGGTTACATTCTCAGCTTTGTCATTGCCTGCTGGGTGACCTAGGGCAAGTCACCTCACCTCTGTGTGCCTCAGTTTCTCCATCTGTAGGATGGGAATAATAATACTACCCTCCTTTGTAAAGCACTTTGAGATCTACGGATAATAAGAGCTAGGGCTGATGATGAAGACCAAAGGTAGATTAAGGCCATTCTGAAGTAACTAATCAATCATCATCTGGCAACATAAACAGAGGATGCAGCTGCTCGTGGTGAACAAGGAACAGTCTACAAAATGACGCAGCTTATCAATGGTAAACACCAGACACCAAAAAACCACTCTCATCAGGAGCAAACAAGGCCACCTACTAACAACCAAAGAAAAAGAACAAGAAGAATTGCTGAACAGGGAGCCACCTAAAGAGGAAGCAAATGTCCAGGAGGCAGAAGAAGATCTTATTATCAACACAGACACCCCAACTAAGGAAGAGATCATTCAAGCCATCAAATCCTTAAAAAATGGGAAAGCTCCTGGCAAGGATAACTTGAATGCAGAATTGTTCAAGGTAAATCCTAAATTAGCAGCATCCTGGCCCCTCTATTTACATCAGTCTGGGAAAGGGGAAAAATGCCAGATGAGTGGACCAATGGGGTTATAGTGAAGATACCAAAGAAAGGAACTCTCAGTGATTGCAATAACTGGCGTGGTATCACACTTTTATCTGTGCCAGCAAAGTATTGCGTAAGAACATAGTCCGGTGTATATCAGAGGCAGTTGACAGCATTCTCAGAAAAGAGCAAGCTGGTTTTCGGAGAGGGCGTGGATGCACAGACCACATCTTTATTCTACGAAACATAATAAAACAGTGCTTAGAATGGCAACAGCAACTCTACA